TCCATTGACCTCCAGCTAACTCCTAAAATAGACCTAACACAAAGCAGCCACAGACGTCACGTCACGTCAAGATAAATCGAGAACAACCCTACCCTGCAACTTCCCCTGACTCATCTCCTCGAACACGCCCGTCAAAGCATCCATCTTCTCCGTTCGGAAATGGGCCTTGATGATCCCTCGCGCCGCGAAATCCAGCGTCTCGATCGCATCTCGCTGCGTCCCCACCGCCGATCCGGTAATCGTATAATGCTTCGCGATCATCTGGCCAGGAAACGCGGTCGCAATCGGTTGCGGGGCATTCTCGGGGATTCCCACGCACACGAGGGTACCGTTGAAGCGCAGGAATGGTACGGCCTGGGCATAGGCTGCGTTGGCTGCGGTGCAGACGATGACGGCGTGAGCGCCTAGACCCCCGGCGAGGGATTTGACGTGCGCGGCAATGGCTTGGCCCTTGTCGTCCGAGGGGAACTTGGTGATGTCGACGAAGTGTTCAGCTCCGGAGGCCTTCACGAGTTCTTCTTTGCTGCCGTGGTCGATTCCGATCACCCGCAGTCCCATGCCTTTGCTGGCTAGTTGCACGGCTATGTGGCCGAGGCCGCCGCCAGCGCCGGAGATCACCACCCATTGGCCTGGTCGGGCGTTGCTGCGCTTCAGGGCTGCGTAGACGGTCACGCCGGCGCAGAGCATCGGCGCGGCTTCGTCGGAGGCGAGGCCGTCCGGGATCGGCGTCACGTAGTTGGCGGGGCCTAGGGCGTATTGCTGGAATGTGCCGGGGGTGTAGTATCCAGATACCTTTTGGTTGAAGCAGATTCCGTCGGCGCCTGCATGGCATGGTTCTGTCATTGATTGTCAGTATGGGACTATCTGGCCAAGAGAACTGTATACGCACCGCAGCTCTTGCAGACGCTGGACACCCATTTGATGCCTACCCTGTCGCCGACCTTCAGGCCCGAAGACTCGGCTCCAGGGCCTAGCTTGACGATCTTACCGACACCTTCGTGGCCACCGACTTGACCTGGCTGTGTGGGGTAGGGTAGAGACCTCCACTGGACGAGTTAGGAGGTGATTGAGCTGGAGGTACGTCTGTATACTCACGGTGTTGGTCATTACTCCAAGATCGGAATGGCAGACGCCTGAATGGGTGCTACAATAGCCATTAGTTTGATGAATGCACTTGCTGATTGGATAAACCATGTCCAGCCAGTTCGGGCTAAAGGTAACACATACAGATTGATCAAGACCTCACCCACACCAGGCTCGGGCACATCTATCTCTACGACTTTGGTGGAGACAGTGCCGGGTTGGTCATAGATGGCTGCCTTCTGCTTTGCAGGAATCTCCGGCACCGCTGTACTGCTATTGCTATCACCCACAGACATAGTCATCTTCGTAGTATACTGGTATCTTCGGTGTTGTACGGAGAGGAAGGGGGGACGATGAAGGGTGCGAGAAGCGAGACTCAGAAGCTGCAGATCAAGGGCGCAGCATCTCTTTATTACTGGGGGACCCAGTCGACGCGCTAAATGAACTGGGATCATCCTGATGGACCATCGCTGAGACGGGCCAAGAAATGCACTTCACATTATGGTGTCGATAGTTGATTCAAAGAAGCAATGAAGGTCGCAAGTGGCCCGTAACCGAGGCACAAACTGGAGGCGAGTCACATCGTCATCCACCGAACCCCTCTTTTTTTTCTTTTCTTTTGTGTCCAGAGAACATGATCGGCCAAGTGCCAGTAATAATGAGAAGCCAATTCAACGGAAATCCCGGATATCACCCCCGCCACTGATCTCGTACCTAGGCATCAGTTGAAAGAACCCCGCATTTGAAGTCAGATCGTGTTTGTTGCGGAGTGTGATTGGCGAGGAGTGACGGTCCGCCCCAATTTGTGGTTCAGTCGTGGAGCTGAGAACACTGAACAGAACACAAAACTATCCAGCAGAAGGTCGGACAAGCCCAGAGCTATTTCCTTCGGTATATAAATCTGCTGCTGGAGCTGCCGAAGGTCCTCACACCATTTGCCAAGGGTCTGGCCAGTGAGGAGGCAGAGAAGTAGAGAGGAGAAGGCAGATCGGTTGGTCGCGATGGAGTCTGGACTGCCTGCGCTCGGGCTAATGCATCCCCGATCATCATCCCCTCGTCTGCTGACTGGAATTGAATTGCATGATGTTCACCAGAGTCTGAATCACTAGTTCCCCTCTTTCGATAGCTGCTCTACGCACCTTGTATTCTAATCAACAAGACTCTTCTTCAATCCTGTAGTCTTCACTATCTTCCCTCTCTTCAATCATCCCAAGCAGCACTCAACCCCGCATTCCCGGGAAGATCACCACTTCAACCCCTCACAAGTACATCAACACGAACACGAAAACAAAGACAAAAAAAAAGAAGACAAAAGTACTGCATCCACAACAATGCCAACCCCAATCATCGACTCCCACATCCACCTCTTCCCAGCATCCCATCTCCCCACGCTGGCCTGGTACACCCCCTCCAGCCCACTCGGTTCCCAACACTCAGTCGACGAATACCGCCTCGCAACCACCTCCACTCCCACATCCCCGGAAGAAACAAACTCACACTACCTCCGCGGCTTCATCTTCCTCGAAACCGACCGCATCTCCTCAATTGAAGAGTCAGACCCAACCCGTGGCTGGTCCCACGCCCTCGACGAAGTCTCCTTCCTTACCCGGATCATCACCGGAGATCCTATCCCAGGGGAAGGCCACAAAGATGTAGATCGCCATCTCTGTCTAGGTATGGTGCCCTGGGCGCCTGTACCTGGGGGTCCTGCTGCGCTAGAGAAGTACATTTCCCTCGTAAGGGAGCGGACTCGCACGGAAGAAGTATCCAAGAAGGTCCGCGGAGTGCGGTACCTCGTTCAGGATAAGCCGAGCGGAGACATGCTAAAGCCTGAGTTCATTGATGGGCTGAGGTGGCTAGGAAGGCAGCAGTTGGCGTTTGATCTGGGGGTGGATGCGCGTCAAGGTGGGATGTGGCAGTTGAGGGAGGCGGCGGAGATGATGAATACGGTGTATCGGGGGGTGGGCGAGAAGAAGGATAGGGTTAGGATTGTTATCAGTATGTTTGTTCCTTATTTCTTATGCATAGGATTCATGGTTGGTATTTATCTGGGCTAACGAGCTATCTACAGACCACCTGTGCAAGCCGAACCTCCGTCTGCCGTACACCTCGCCCGACTCGATCGCTACGCATCCGGATTTCCTGGAATGGAGCTCCCTCATCACAGCCATGGCACAGCATCCAACGGCGTACATGAAGCTTTCCGGTGGATTCTCGGAGCTTCCCCCGCTCACGGCGGATTCGGAGCCGGATATTGCTTCTCTAGTCGACCAGGTCCAGCTTTGGACGGATGTGGTCTTTGATGCGTTCGGGCCGGAGAGAGTCATGTTTGGGTCTGACTGGCCTGTGTGTAATGTGGGTGGAGGCGGTAGTGCAGTCGCCTGGAGACGGTGGAGGAGTGTGGTAGAGGGGATTCTGGAGAAGAGGGGCTTGTCGCAGGAACAAAAGGAGGGTGTATGGGGTGGTGTTGCCATCAAGGCATATGGGATTGAACTCTAAGTTAATACTTATTCAAATCATAACGGAAGCATGTATGTATGTACACCAATTTCCATGAGGAAGTGTATCTACAATAAAGATATCATCACCATCATAACATATCATTATCTACTGAAGATTCACAAAAGCACCCCCATCCACCAGTATCTGCGCTCCAGTCTATCCATCCACATTAGCACAACCTTCCCAAACATACTAGAACAAAGGGGGAATAATACTCACCACATAACCACTCAACTCCTCACTCGCCAAAAACACCGCCGGTCCCGCCAAATCCGGCGGCTGGCCCAACCTTCCCAACGGAATCCTCCCCTCCATATACGACCTCTTCACCGGATCACTCATATCCTCATCATTCAACTGAGTCCGGATCGTCCCCGGCAACAGCGCATTACATCTGATGCCATACTTGCCCAACGCAACCGCACACGACTGCATAAGACTAAGCACGCCCGCCTTCGTAGGCGTATAATGCGTCTGCTGTCCACCCCCAACAAGCGCAGAGATAGAACTAATCCCAATAATGGAACCCCCCGGTGGCGATTGAGCTAGTGCCATTTGTCGTGCTGCTGCTTGCGTTGCCCAGAATGCGCCGCTTAGGTTGGTGTTGATTGTGTGGCCGAGGAGTGGAGGGTCGACTCTATACCGTTGGATGACATGGGTCAACAAAAATGGCTCTTTAGGGGTGTACTTCTAAATTGGGGGGGGGCAACGTACTCGAGAAACTCCTCAAACTTGCACACTCCCGCATTACTCACAAACACGTCGAGTCGGCCAAAGGCTTCCACGGCTTTGGATACGAAATCCCGCCCCGTCTCGGGCTGTGTTACGTCCCCTGCGACTAGGATGAATCTGCTGCTCTGCTCGCTGTCGCTGTTGCTGTTGGATCGGATAATTTCAGATACGTCTTTGCGCATTGCTTCGATGAGGGGCTCTTCTTTGGGTCCGCCGAGGTGGTTTACGGCTACTTTGGCGCCGTGGCGGAGGTATTCGAGGGCGATGGCCTAGAGAGAAGAGAATGTTAGACTGGCCTGGTAAATTCAAGTGAGTTCTGTTGTTTGTTGCTGTGTCTTACCCTGCCAATACCGGTTAAACCACCTGTAATGGCGGCGACTTTGCCGACTAGGATTTGGGGGAGGGGCATTGTGACGGTGTTGCTTCTGGTGATGGTCGATTGGGGTTTCTTTGAAGGGAATTGAAGTGAACAGAGGGATAATGCGAGCTTATAGTCCTGGATTGAGTGCTCGTCTTGTGCTGGTATTTCTGGTCAACCCCGCCGGGGAGATTCAGCATAACCAAAGAAGTAAATCTACGTTCAGATAAGTGGAGTCGGTCTCGGGCCTCTCGTGGCATTGTTACCCCGAGACCACCCCCACATTCGGCATTTACCCCACATTGGAGGATTGCTCGCAAGTCTTGTTGAGGATTGTTCCATTGCCCCTATCTATTGTTCTGTAAAAAATTTGAAACAAAGGTAAATCATGTATACATGTATAGGAAATGCTAATCTCGTCACAGGTTAAAAATATGCCATCAAGCATCTTGTAGAAGCCGTAATCTAGAGATGTCGTAAAAACCCTGCTTAAGCAGTGCCGTTAGATTCCTGCTGGCTCTCAGCTGGGGCAGCAAGAGCCTTCTGAGGCGCAGGAGTGAGAATGGAGGCTGCTGGGATAAGAGGCGCAGCAGGGTTCAGCTCCAGGCCGAAGCCCGGCTTGTCCAGGATCGAAACGTCCAGGTATCCCTTGGTAGGGATGGGCTCGTTGAGGAAGAGGTTTCCGAAGACGGGCTCAACAGTGTGTCCATCTGCAGAGTTGGCGAGGTATTCCTGGAAGGGCGTGTTGGGTTGCGAAACCACAAAGTGGTAGGAGTAAGGTCCAGATGCGTGAGGAACGACTGGGAGGTCGTAGGCACTGGCAAGGGCGGAGACCTTGAGCAACTCCGTCATACCACCAACCCACATGACGTCGGGCTGCAGAATGTCCAAGTTGCGGCCCTCAACGAGTTTCCGGAAACCGTACCGGGAGTACTCGTGCTCACCGGTGGTGAATTTGACAGTGGGGTGGGCTCTCTTCAGAAGTGCATGACCGTCAAAGTCATCCGGAGTCAAGCATTCCTCCCACCAGTCAATGTTGATTCCTTCCGCCTCGCAACGCTTGACAAGCTCAATTGTGTAGGGAACGTTCAGGGACATGTAGCAGTCGACACGCAGAGGGAAGTTGGGACCGACTGATTCCCGCTGCTTACGGAGGTACTCGACGTTCTTCAACAGTCCTTCTGTACCCTCGTCAGGGCCATGGGGAAGAGCGACCTTGGCTCCGGAGAAACCCATGGCCTTGGCCGAAGCGGGCTGTGGTCCAGTGCAGTAGAAGTCCAGACGCGAACGAGTAGCGCCGCCAATGAGCTTGTAGACGGGTTCGTTGCGAATCTTACCCAGAAGATCCCAGATAGCCAAGTCAATCACCGAGATGACGGCAACAGGGAGACCTTTTCTGCCATAGAACATCGATCCCCGGTACATCTTCTCGAACAGGTCATTGGTATCTCTGGGGTCTATAGAGGGGATACATATTAGCCTGGCTCATCCATGGGAGACGATATTGATGGCCCGTACCTGCACCGAGCAAAAAGCGCTCAAAATGTTGGTGAACAAGCCAGCAAGCCGGAGGTCCACCGAATCCCGTGGCAAATCCCTTGGTCCCATCGGTAGCTTCGATCTCGACGCAGAAAGAGCCTAGGACGTTGATACCCCATGATGTGCGAGAGCCGCGGTATTGTGCCCAGCGAGTCATAGGGGTGGAGATGTTGCTGTCAATCAACCAGTGACCTCCTTTAACCTGTTGAATTGAAGAAGATTAGCAGTCTGCAAATAAGTATCCCGGCACTGCTGAGCATACATTATGGTAATCACCTCCGGATCCCACACCATCAATGATGAAGGTGCGGATCTCTTTGATGCGGGGAAATTGGCCGGTAGAGCCCATATTGGCAGTACTTTAGCGGAAAGGGTATGAAGAATATCACAAAGTTTAGAGGATGAGAAGCAAAAGAAGAAGAAGAAAAGAGAAAGCGATAAACTTTTTTGTCAGGGAAATTGGAGCATATTTGAAAGCATACGAGCAACTCCGCGTCGAGGGGTATCCGGCACACTTTCCCCTCGGCTGGTGATGCCTCGGGGCAATGCTACCCCGAGAAGCTCTCCAACCTGCGCCGCCAAAAAAAATCACAAGGATGAAAGGGAAAAGTCTTGGTCGGAAAACAATGGGCGGGTGAACGGACCCTAAGGGGCGCCACATTTCAGGTCATTCCTAGGGCAAAGTGTTTCCCCAGACCAGAGAGTTCTTCACAAACGGCAGAATAGATGTGGAGGTCCATTTGCGGGGGTCCGCGTGCCCTTTCTTGGCTCAGGCAATGCCAGCCCGAACGCTCTCTTCGTCTCTTTCATTCCTTCCTATTCTTCTCCTTTGCTTCTGTGTCGCTTTCGCTCGCTTCGCACAATCCTTGAAGCTAGCAGTCGATTCGGTCTAATATCACCGATTTCCGCCCCTCCTGCCAGGATGCTTCGTTGCTGCTGATCGAATTACTGTGGCTGGACCTGTCTATCTCCCGACAAACCCCGGACTCGCTAAAGTACCATGCCGAACGCTGCTGCAGCTGTCTCTGTTCGACAGACTCCACCACCATCCCGACTTACTGGCGATCTGGATCGGGATCACAGCGGGGATGAATCTTGGTCCGCTGCCGATAGCGAGAATGACCGTGTTGTGCAGAACGGGTCGAGCGTCCCTCGTGCGCTGAAACGTAAACGACCCCTCACAGTGTCGTACGTACCGTCCCATCCTGCTTTGAACCATTGAAAGCATAGATCCCCTCATCACACTCCAATCCTTGGAATATATCTTCCGAGAGAGCTGTGGCTGGTGCCATTCATCGGACATCTCACTAACCGACTAAGATGCGAGCTATGTAAGCAAAGGAAAGTCAAGTGCGGTAGGTATGCCCTGCCCCTGCGGTGGCTTCCCCTCATCTTCAATCCTTGCTCCATATGGGTACAAGCTAACATGCACAGATCGGGCGCAGCCTAGCTGTGGGTGGTGCTCTCGCAACGGCCAATTATGCGAATACAAAGAGCGGAAAAAGCCCGGACTACGGGCAGGTTATGGGAAGGAGTTGGAACAAAGGCTAGGTGCGTCGCTAGTCTCTGGCAGGTCCATCTGAAGTTTTCACTCACTGGGCATGCAGATCGGTTAGAAGAGGTTATTCAGACGCAGGCTCGCCTAATCGAGACGCATATTATTCAGGGCCAGCCGACTAGGAGCCATGATATCTCCCACCAAGGTCCCTTCTCATACAGTTCCCCATCAGAGACAGCTCAGGGCCCCAGTCCCAATAACGCATTCTATTTCCATGATCCACCATCTATCGTGCCCCAACCGCGTCAGTCTGAACCATCCATCACCAGTCCTTCGGACATATCGGTCAAGAACACCATACAAAATCACCTGGCGAGTGCTATGTCTGCGCCCGTTTCGGTACCACGGTCGACGAATAACGTGTCACAAGCCAACGATTATATGGGAAATGAATCATCGCTAAAGGTTCCGGTCAACCTGTACGCCAACCAGGAACAATTACTTGCAGATCCAGAGCTCGATCTACCCCCGTACGATCTCCTGTATGCGCTGGTGGACCTCTACTTTGAACATATCAATACTTGGTGTCCCATTCTCCATCGTCGTACAACTCTCGACACATTCTTTGGTCCGTCTCCCCTCGAAGATGCGGACAGAACAGTGCTCTATGCTATAGTTGCAACCACTCTTCGTTTCTCAAGCGACAGTCGGCTCAACGAACAAAACCGCAAACGATACCATGACTCCTCCAAACAGAAAGTTCTGCTCTATGGGTTAGAGAACTCATCAGTCAAGGCTCTCCAGGCCTTGGTAATCCTGGCCTTGGATTTGGTGGGGTCCTCCAACGGCCCTCCTGGATGGAAACTGCTCGCACTGATTACACGATCGGTGGTGCAGCTCGGATTGGCCGTGGAAGCTAAATCTTCACTCATTGCTCCCAGTTACCCGTCCATCTATACGCTCAGGGCGGTAACGCTCCCGGAGCCCGAATCCTGGATCGAAGATGAGAGCAGACGGAGGCTCTTCTGGATGGTGTATTTCCTGGACCGATATTCTACCATTGCAACCGCCTTTGATTTCGCCCTAGATGATAAGGACATTGACCGGAAACTACCATGCAAAGACGAATATTTTATTAAGAACCAGCCTGTGGAGACAAGATGGTTCCAACGCTCAAGTGATCGTGCTGACTACGTGACTCGTGCCGAAAACGTCGGCAGCTTTGGACTCTATGTCGAAGTATTAGGCATCCTCTCTCGGATCCATGCTTTCTTGAAGCGACCTGTCGATATAGGAGCTTTGTCGGATGTCGAGGAGTGGCAGACCACATACCGCAAGCTAGACAGCGAGTTAACGTCCTGGGAATTTGGCCTCCCAGCCGAATATGCCTACGAGAACTCCTCCCGATTGTTCAATGGATCCAAGTTTACCAAGGGGATTCATTGTGACTGGGTTCAGCTCCATGCCACTTACCAAACGTGAGATATTCCTACCACCTCGATCACATGCAATCGCATCAAGAGCTACTCAAGCCTAACATTCATCCCATATAGTGCGGTTATCCGGCTCCATTCATCAGCAGCATACCCCACCACGCGATCACCAATCTTCACCCCTTCATACAGCGCAAGCCAGCGATGCCTGCTTGCAGTGGACAACATCCTCTCTGTGACCCGCTTCGTCGTCGACAACAACATGCTCGACAAATTAGGGCCCCCATTCGCCTTCACACTCTGGGTATCCGCCCGGCTCCTCCTCGTCCACGGGTCAACAATAGCCCACACCGTCAGCCCCGACATCCTCTTCTTCGTCGACACCCTAGCCCAGATGGGCAAACACTGGAAAGTGGCAGAGCGCTACAGCTCAATTCTGCAGCGCGTTCTCGACGAATACGGCGAATACCAACAATCCGGAGTCTCCGACTCGGAACGAGCCACTCCATCCACCGTAAAGATCCTAGCAGACATGCGCCGCTGCGCATTCGACCTCGACTTCCTCATCTCCCGCCAACCCCGCACCTCTCCAGCCGGCAGCCAGCCCTCCGCATCACCAGCGGCAGTCAGGAATCCAGCCCCTAACGAGCTCGAATACCTAGACGTCTTCGGCTTCTTCAACGTCCCCCGTGTTCCTGCTGCCCGGGCGACGGATATTCTCAGCCTGGATATCGGCGACCCAGTGAACAACCCCATGTCAGTCAACGGCTTGACCGGGACAGGTGGCGGCGGCAGCAGCAGTAATACCAATCACGTCGTCGATGGCTCGCATTCTAACGCCAATGAATTCAATATCACCAATTATCTGATCCCCACTCCAGAAAGTGACTGGCTTTTTCGTCCGAGTGGATGAATGTTCATGAAGACCGGTCTCTATGCCTGTCTATGTCAGTCAAAGGGTTGCTAGTGGAATGATTTCAGAAGCCATGCTGCATAACGATGGAGTTTGCGTGACTCTTGTTGGTTAGGTCAGCTGCCTCAGCAGCTAGAAATGGCGTTGAGATGCCACCCGGCCCTAATGCGTGGTCTGAAACTATTGTGTCAGACTATGATACCGGCGGGCTTGATGTATAGTATCCAATAACCCCGTGTTAATTTACGTCATTGATTATGAATGATGAGTTTTACGATGTAATGCGATCTTGACAATGAATGCATCACCTGGATGTCTGTAGTTTTCATTCTTCGAGATATCACACACACACACAATACTTAGGTACTCGAGTGTTTCGAGAACAATTGATAGACAAACAAGGAACAATTTACAGAACTCCCCGCATCGTTCTGATACCATTACAAGTGCAGACAAAGAAAAAAAGTAAAGGAAAGGAAAAAAAGACGACAAGGAAATCATGAAGGAGAGAAGAGATGAGTCTTGAAAGTAGTGTCATGTCCCAGAGACGTAATGTAACCAGAGGAGGCCAATCTCCAGTAGGCAAGCTCCTCTTCACTAAGTCAAAGATGGTTCCAGCCCAGAAAATTCCAGGATAGCAAGCAATGTGGAGATGAGGAAGGTATGAAGGAGGGAATCCAAGTCGAAGAATTCATTTGATGTGTACCCAATCGTGGATAGAGCACCAATAGCAGAGAATGTGCATATTTGGATATGAACGCCACCAATTCTTGTTCTGTTGAATCCGAAAAGGGTGTAAGAGCAGGAAATTTAGCGAGAAAGAAGAAGAAGATGGTATGTGAGTCGATCCAAGACACACAAAAACCAAATTGAACTGCATAGCTGCCATGATCGTGAAAATAGGACCCCAATAAGTCCGTAGTGACAAATAATTTATATTTGCCAGTCTGTTCCAGCTTCGACCCTCTGCAGGTGGGCTGTGCTCGCAGTAAGGAGGGCTGTCATTCTAGTCAGAGTCTCAAGAGGCAAGCCTGGTTAGTTAATCGTGCTATGCTCGAGTTTAGACCAGAGTAACACTTAGGCTCTGCCTGGATTCGAATCTGAGTCAGAAGGCTCAACCCGGACAAGGATCTCTTCTAGAAATCCCTCTAAGAATGAGGTCACTTGAGCGCCCATTCCCACAGGTGCCTCGTTGTCCCAGCGTTCAAGCTTCGTGAACATGCCGTAGATATCGCCCACCAGGTTTTCCATCATTCCATGGACATACTCCTCACGTGTTTGGTATTCGCTGATATTGCCGCTAGCATCCCTCGTCGTGTTAGGTGAAACGAGCTCCAGACGCCGCGTCCGGCGACGAATGGCTGCTTTGAGAGCAGGTAGTATCACACTATTTAGAGCTGTGATCTCGTTGGAAGGGGGCATCTGGGCCTGACCCTGAATGGCCTCCCGCTCCCGTACTCGCTCATCAAGGGCCCCATCGGTTGTGGTATTGAGCTGGAGAGGGTCGGGCCTCATGGATGTAGGCCGAGGACCATGTGGCAACGCTTGCTGCGGCCGTGATGGTTGGGATGGCGGTGACATATGCCTTGGTGCTGGGGGAAGCCGTGCTTGTGGTTGTGCGTATGTTGGACGTTGCGAATATGCTTCTTTGGCAGGTCTAACGTTCTGGTTCACAGCATTTGAGGCCGGTGGATCTGGTAGGCGTTGATAGGATGGAACTTCCGGCAGGGGTGACTGCGGAGCCTTTTGGTATCCTTGTAAACCTGGGGGAGCACCACGGGCTTGCGAGAAGGCTGTCGAAGGACCTGGGGAGCGATCTAGCTGGAGGAAGCTCAGATCTTCAGCCAGAGCTTGTTGTAGAGCTCTATCGTAGTCACTACCAGGACTCCCCTTGGGTTGCCGTGAGACTGGCTGTTGTAGGTGTGAAGGTGTCTGAGGTGTGAAATCTGATGCTTGTTTGATGGGCGAAGGTGGCAAGGGAACCTTGGTGGGCGACAATGGCTTGGGCATAGCACTAGGCATGTTTTTCGTCTGCAAGGGTGTAGAAGGCATATTGTTCTTTGGCCGTAAAATGTCTCGACGGGGATCGTCTTTCATGTTCCACTCATTGGCTTCATGGCTTCTCGCATTCATGTCCGCTTCTTTCATCGGCTTGAGAGGGGGTGCTCTCCCTGCCGGCCGCACGGTGCCAAAGTCCCATAAATCGTCCTCTTCCTCAGGCGGAGACGTCTTAGGGGGAGGTTCCTGAATGTCTTCATCATCAGCCCCCCTATTGCCGTGAATGGCGTTCCAGCGCTCGTAGCGTTCAATCAGCTCGGTCAGATAGGTTGTCTTCTTTGCCCTCTTGATGAACGGGTGCTCGAGCAGCTCTCTGGCGGACGGCCGTTCCCTGGGATCTCGTCTCAAACAAAGTTCCACAAAGTTTTTGAACGCTTTACTGTAATCGCCTTGCAGAACGGGCGGGGGGTTCTTTGGAATCAAAAATAACACCTTCATGGGATGGATGTCCGAGTAAGGAGGCTCTCCGTTGGCCAATTCAATCGCAGTGATTCCAAGAGACCAGATATCGGCCTTGTAGTCGTACCCAGATTGCTTAATCACCTCCGGGGCCATCCAGAATGGGGTACCCACGAATGTATTCTTCTTAGTCATTGTGGCTGACAGTTGGCTAGAAACTCCGAAATCAGCCAATTTCACTTGGCCGTTCGAGGTAAGCAGGATGTTTGCAGCTGGCACTGATGTTAGTCTCCAAGATAACGGTGGTATGGCAAGCGAGATCAGGTGGTACCTTTGACATCCCGGTGCAGCTTCTTGTCGCTATGTAGATAGTCCAGCCCTCGGAGTAGCTCTCTTATGATGATCATGATATACTCCTCCGGGATTGTTCCCGGGCGCATAAGATCGGAGCAACTGCCACCGGAACAGAACTCCATGATGATCCACAAACTGGATCCCTTCAAGAAAGAACCATGGTATCGGGTGACATAAGGAGAATTGAGTTCCGACAAGATGGCAATTTCTTGGATAATATCTTCCACCTCATCTTCGGCATTCTCGACGTCGATGATCTTGATAGCAACAGAGGCACCGGTACGCTTATCAACGCTGCGAGTAATAGCAGTGTAAGCCGCCAAGTTCTCACAATATATTGCGCAATCAGAGCAAGATGAGAGAGGTGCCTGAGCATACATACCCTTTATAGACTCGTCCAAAGCTCCCGCCGCCTGCAACGGTATGACTGAGTTAGGAGAAGCTGATTGCGCGGCAAGATGAATCACACCATGCCCGAGTACGTACCGATGCAGCTCTGCTTCATGTAGATCGTCTCTGGATCCACTAGGCCTTCCATCTTGGCTGTAACTAACCGCCGGCGGAGGAGAAATCAATTGTCTCGCCCGGTTCTGCAACACTGGCAAATGAAAATCAGCGTTCTGCCATATATGAGAAGAGATGATTGTCTGTGGAATGCGAGCACCACATGCGCAGAAGACCGAGAACATATAAGAGATCAGATGATGGGGAGGCAGCTTCGCGCGGGCGGTTGTGGAGGATCAAGGGCGACATACCTATCGCCTAAGCTAGGCTAGGAGGTGGAGGTAGGGCTTAGATAGGAAACAAGTAAAGAAAGGAGACATTGAATTTCCAAAATAGATAGATCGGTCAATCAATCAATGAATGCGGTTCAAGGAGAGATGCTAAATAGAATTTCGGGCAAATGCATTGGGAGCAGAAGCTGACGCTCAACTATGATTGTTTTGGGGATGACAACCGACAGATAGCTAGCTGGCTGGAGTGTCTGTGTGTCTCCGAGGGAGGCGGAGGGGGGAAAAGAGGAGGAAGAATGGGTACAGCCACCGATCCTTGCGTGATTTGAAAGGGAAAGAAACAGGGCGCAAGGGCTGAAAAACGGGTAGGCGATATAAGCTAGGCAGATGAGAATAGATGGAAGGAATGGGAGGGAGAGAATTAATTCCCTTGCATGTCAACAACGAGAAGTAGAAGAAGAAGAAGCAGAAGCAGAACAAGAAGAACAACAACAACAACAATAACAATGACAATTGGAGACAAGTTGGAACCACGAAACCAGGAACAGGAACCGGCGATTACCAAAAATACCCACCCGAATACCGGCCACTGATTGATTGCTTAATTGGGGAGCAACGCGGGGTTGTTTCTGGCCGGGCGGTGAGTTGATTTGGTTTCGATAAAACCCCCACCATCTCTTAGCACCTAGTCGAGCAGGCGGTGAAGAGATGAGTTGCCTAGTCTGGTACTGCTTAATGTGGAAGCTGCACAAAGTACGGAACTGCCCTGATGTAAAAAGGGATATCAAGGGTAAAATGTGTGATTGTTCTCTGATTTCTTTCTCATGAAGCCATTAGATCCATCTCCTCTTTATGCAGACTCGCAAGATATAGGGGACAATTACTAGTCAAAGCATGACCCGATCTACATAATTGGAAAGAACCACTCAGTAGTCCTGATGTCGGTGCTTGGCTTCCAGAGAGATGCTCATCCGTGTTAAACAAAGGCATCCATCCCCAGAGCAGCAATTTGGCCCGAAGAGCAACAGGCGCCAGTCCTGACAGCTCCTTAGGCCTCCGTCCTGGACCTTCCGAGTCTCTCCTCAAGTGCCATGTCCCAATGCAGTCTATTCCTCGACATACCCTATCATGACCGTACCATTCTTCAGTCCAGCATCGGCGACGGTTTGATCCAGCGAGTCAATCAGATTGCGGCCCATGGCATTCAGCTCAAACTCCACACCGGCTTTATCCTCCAAGGGCGGATCAGCCTTGAGCCATTCGTAGATCCGCTGGACAGGATCCGTCAAAGCAAAACGTCGAATCACTCGCCCCGATGGGTGTCGGAACTGAATGCGCGTGGTTGTGGCAGGATCGGCGGGGGGCTCTGTGTGGGGTCGATTGTCCGGGATGGACAAGAAGACGCTCTGTTCAGGTTGTTCGGCCTCTTCCATCCCAACGTCTTCAGCCCGTCCCTTGCCCTTCACATCATCAGTGCTGCGTGTGAGATCGTCGGGGTCCTCCACCTTCGGACCTTGCGACGCCTCATCCCCTAGGCTGTTTCTCATTGCCATCTCCATCATCTCTTCTTCAGTCATTGCATCGATACTCTTTTCCTTCTTCTCCGGCTTCCTCTTCGCCACGGGATTTCTCACGTTGTGCTTCAGACTGTATCTGTCGAGGAACTCGTGGACTTGCATCAAAAAGTCCGACGCCTTGATCACGGGAGGACCCGACCAGACCTTCATCTGTTCTCCAGTCCGGGGGTCGACAATCGCGATGTGGGGATAATTATCTGAGACGTCGCTGGCCTGAAAGTAGTACTGCAGATACGGTCCCGCGCGAGGGTCGTCCTTGGAATATTGCATGAAGATAAAATGCTCCTTAACGGTGTCTCTCACGCCCGCATCCTTCCAGAGGTCTCTGTTCAGAACCTGGCAATCAAAGACTGAAGGGTCCTGGATATTGACCATCAACCACTTCTCATTGTCACGACCTTCCTGACGAGCGACATCCCACGGAAGCCTGGACATGATCTCGAAAGGCGGGCGGTACATCTCAGCTAACATGTTAGACTTATTCGAGGCCTCGGAAGCTCCTCCAGTCGCTGCAGCCAACCGTTCACGTTCCGAGGTGTCGTCCTCTCCAGACCATATCGATGTGTCTCGCTGGTTGAAGATGCCCGGCCGGTCTAAGGAGAAGCAAAGTTAGCCGTGCATTTGGAGAAATAGTGATGGAATGCAGGGTGAAGTGCTAACTGTTTCGCTGTTGGCGCGCGCGCAGTTGACCCAATATGCTGGCATGCATATCGCCATCATCAAAGTCCGCTTCAGGCCCCACCAAGGTTTCTGTTGTACGGGCCATCGGCGCACGCACGTTCTCTTCGGCATCTCCTCCGCCGTACATCTCTTCTTGGAGGCGACGGGCCATGGCGGCATCGTCTTCGAACATAGCGCCGTGGTTCCGAGGCGCAGAGCGAGACTCATCTATTGTGACGTCGTCATCGGAGTCGATATTGACCACCCCGGACTCGTTTCCATAGCCGCCAGCATGAGAAGCTTGCTGCGGCGTGGAGGCAGACGGTAAGGGATCATCAGTCAGTGGCGCACCGCCATTCTCGAAGAAAAGCTGTACAGCCTGTTCGATGTTGAAATCAGTCAGCTGCAGATATTGGGTAGCCAGCTCTGGCTTTGAGCCGGTGATTTCAGTGAACTGCGCTACCACGTCGCCTTCCATGGCGGGCGCACAGCACTGGTATTAATATAAGAAAGAGGCGAAGAAGGAAGGATGAAGGGAATCAAGAGATCGTCGTGATGGGAGGAGGGTGTATGCAGCAGGAATCCCAACAGAAAGGTCGAAGGCAGGCAATGTGATGCAAACAGCTGCAAACAGCAATGTCAGTGCTAGGCGGTGATCAACGAAGATGGAGGAATGAAGTTGAAAGAAATTCGAGATAAATGCATATAAAGATAAAGACAATAGAGAGGAGATACTTGGGGAGACTCCGCAGTAGTGAACCAGGAGATTGTACAAGGGAATGCAGCACAAACAACCAGGATGCGCGGCGGTAATAGTTTAGGTACTATCCGTCAGGTAGAGTTGGTGACGCACTTCACAGCATCCGATGAGCAGGCGGATAATCACGCGGTCCGATCCTGTGGCTGCCACGCCTGAGAACTCAGGCAGGACCTGGCAGCTGAGTAGAACCCCGCGGGAAGAAACGTGACTGGTAGCCGAAGCGCGTCAGCCTCGCATCCAGTCACGTGATAAGAGCAAGCTACGCGTAGTAACACGCGCACCTTAACTCGACGCGTCTTGTTAATTATGCCTCCTTGGGAAAATTGTGGTGGATAGCAGTACCTCCACTCCAAATACTACTCTACTACTACTACAGTATTTTCTCTAACACCCACCCGCTCCTTCCCTTTCATCATCGATCATCTATCTCCTTCTCATCTTATTTACCTCGGTTGCTCTTGCCAATTACCATTGAATCTATCATATCATGGCTGCTTCGGTCCTCGGTAAGCGCCAGCGAGGTGCTATCGAACCGGAAGGTACGACCTCCATATCCCTCAGTTCCTCCGTAATTTGTTTTAGATCATTTTAACTGACATTCCTTTGTATTAGTACCATCATTACCCGTGCGTCGAGCAAGCAGGCGCCGGACACAACAACCTCACGTCCGTCAAGAAAGCGAGCCCCCTGCACCCCAACCGCGCCAACTTCGGTCACGGACGAGAAACGGCAATGGCGCCGCTATTCAAGAAGAGCCTCAGGAAGAATCAAAGAATGATTCGGTCGATAGTGGACAGACAAGGCGTACTGTGCAGGTTGGCAAGGCGGCCATATCACCTGTTAAGCGCAGCCATGCTACAGATCCGGTCAATGGTAGGGTTTCTCCCTCGATCTCCCTGTTCAAATAGAACTAATCCATCTAGACGAAAACTCGACACCAGTTGAGTTCAAGACACCTTCGAAGTCCAGATTTCGCGATGCACTCGATTCACCTCCTCCGACAACACCGAAACACCGAGTCCTGATTGGCGGGAAATCTATGACTCCACGCACACCTCGACATATATCGACGCCAACCACCACGCAGACTATATATTCCGAAGCAAGGCAGATGTTTGCGCGGGGTGCAACTTCAACTCGGATAGTAGGTCGGGATACCGAACGGGAGAAATTGACCTCGTTCATACAAGATGGTGTTGATTCGCGCAAAGGTGGTTGCTTGTATGTCAGTGGTCCCCCGGGTACTGGCAAGAGTGCCTTGGTTCAGGAAGTGTGTCACGACATGGACTTGAAGTCTCTCAAAATCGCACACCTCAATTGCGCAAGTATGCGGGGTGCTCGTGACGTCTACAGCAGGCTTATCGGCGATCTCTGCAACGACCATGACGTCTTCAAGAAGAGCGAAGCAGATCGGCTACGACTGATGTTTACATCCGAAGAGGAAGATGATATGTTTTTGGTTACTCTGGACGAGATCGATCATCTCCTCACCGCGGATTCCGGTATCCTCCAGTCCTTGTTTGAGTGGTCGTTGCAGGAAAAGTCTAGACTCTTGCTCATCGGCATTGCCAATGCGCTAGACTTGACTGATAGATCACTCCCACAATTGAAGGCCAAGAACTTGAAGCCTCGCTTGCTTCCCTTCTTGCCTTACAATGCTGGCCAGATTGCCAGCGTAATCACAAATCGTCTTCGCTCTTTACTTCCTGAAGGTCAAACGGTGGAGCCCAATTTCGTTCCCTTTGTCCAACCAGCAGCTATTCAACTGTGCTCGAAGAAGGTGGCATCGCAGACCGGCGATCTACGGAAGGCATTCGAACTGGTCAAGCGTGCCATCGATCTTATTGAGCAAGAAGCACTCAAAAAGCTCGAGGCACAGAATGCCAACCCCGAGAGTCCTACCAAAACAATTCTTGTCGAGAACAACAATCTTTCCTCATCCTCAAAGTCATCTTCACCCAAACAGACTCCTACTTTATCTTACACTGCTATCACAGCGCCTCGAGCCAGCATTGCGCATGTTGCGCGTATCACTTCGGCGGCATTCGGACAGGGGACTGTCCAGCGACTACAGGGGCTCAACCTTCAGCAGAAGGCAGCCATATGTGCTTTGATTGCCCTGGACCGCAAGCGGCGGCAAGGTGAATTCCCGGGCACACCGTCCAAGACCAAGCATTTGCCGCCGACGATCAAGCAAGTGTACGACACATATTGTACTTTGTGTCGGCAAGACAATATCCTACACCCTCTTACATCTACCGAATTCAAGGACGTGCTCAGCAACCTGGAGACGATGGGCCTTGTAGGTGAATACCAGGGCCGTGGTCGAGGTGGTACAGTCGCCGGCGGATCCGATCTGCGACGCAGTCCTTCCAAGCTCCACGGGCCAATGACACCCAGCAAAGCCTTGGATGAGCAGAGCCTGGTTTGTTTCGTCTCTCAGAAAGAGATCGAGACACAACTTACCGGAGCGGGAGAGGGTATCCTCCGGAGACTGCTTACCGGTCAAGGGCTGTAAACACGTTCCCTCTGTTTCCCATTTCCTGTACAAAACCCCAGCGAGCTTGCACTTTTGAATGTCTTCTGCAGGCAGTTGGTCCATTCTCTCGGCGTTGGATAAAGAGATGCATATGCACATATCCACTTAGCGATGATCCCCACATTGGCATACGGCGTTACATACATACAACTAGTAAATGATAATGACAGCTTTCAACAAACAATTGACTACCATTACACAGGACGATAAAACAGAAGCAGTAGATTTCAGAACGTCATTTTTCTACGTAATTCTCAAATCAAAACACATTGACTCTGCATGTGAGGTGATATGATATGATATGATGATGATGCTATACACTGAACTGGACTTTAGAAATCCAAAGCAAATATGAATGATATCGCTTATAGAGAGCAAAAATAGACCAAGTCAACTTGAATCGATAGAGGTAAGAGAAAGAAAAAAAAAAAAATACAGAATAAACAGCTATGCATACATACATAATGATAACACAAAAGGTAACAGGAGGGACAACAAAGATGTTGGGTATGTGAAGAACATTGAAGGAGAGGCATATAGATATGAATAGATAGATAGGTAGGTAGGTAGATGAATAGCTGATGACAAAAGGTGAAGCAGTTCGATAGGACCGCCGCTAATGAAAACACAAAGCACACACCCTCACACACATACAAGACGCCATTCTCAAGCAACAAGGCCTGCTTTAGGTTGAGATGGTGTCTGTTGTGTTGTGTGGAATGGCTGGTCCAAGGATCAAGGCTCGATTTTTTACGGATGCTAGTCGGTACCATTGGTATTGGTAGGCTCCTTGTCTTGTCGTGTATTCGCCATGAAGTTGTGGTAGCAGCGTCATCGTTCGTGTCCTTGAAAGAGAGAAAGAAAGGATAAGAATAAGGCAACAAACATTCTTTTATGAGCCTGATTCTGTCTTCTCCTGGTTTGGAGGGAGACAGGTCAAAGGCTTCTATAAGTCATAGACACATCTAGTCATCGTCCATTGGCTTGTCTTCCAATGTGACGCCTTTCGGCTCGGTTTCGGCTAGACTGCTGCGCTTGCTGTCTGTGCCCTCCGTGCTTGCGACGGTCGGGAAGCTGGAACGGTTTCCGAGACCGGGTTTGCGAGTGTAGGAAACGCTAGACCGGGAGATCGTTGATGAGCGCTTCTCGGTATCTTGGGTGGGAGTTGTGGTTGGGGTCACAGAAGCGTCCGATTCAGGAGCCGGGGGAGGACTGGCACTACCCGATGAGGGGCTTGCGCTGGCCGCAGCGGATACAGGAGATTCGCTCAAGGCGCCGTTGGTGACTGGCTCAGGACCGTTGATGTTCACGCTTGTCATCTGTTCCGCAGCGGTGGGAGATTCGCTTTTGATGGGAACATCCAGGCTGCTGCGAGCGACAGTCCGTCTTTCAGTGGGGCTGGTCACGTTGATGGGGAAACGTCTGGTCTCTGAAGCGCCGCTGGAACGGTCACGGCGATGCTTCTGCGGAGGAGCCGGGCTGTTGGCACGGCTGCGGTCGAGGATAGCACGGTTCCGAGCCTCCATTGCGGCCCGGCGGTTGCTCTCATCTGTGCTGATGGCACGAGGACGGTTGGTGGATCCACTGATCCCCAGAGCACTTGACTGGCGTTTCAACTCACCAAAGATGGCGTCCTTGTGAGCAAATAGATCACGGATGAGACGGTAGCTGTGCCGTTCGTTCATCGTAAGGCTGCTTTCTGTGCGAGGACGGAGAATGCAAGGCGACAGGGCCTGGGCAAGAGCAGAGACATAACTTTCATCGGCAGATGTCAGATCAATCAAGCGCGTAAAATGGGTCATAATGGCGTCAAGCGTAGCAATGTTATTCAGACGGAGTTGTCCGAGAGTGCTTTGAAGGACCTTGATGCGGCCCTCTTCCGTCGTCTCATGGGCAGTAGTCGAATAAATTGTCTTCACAATCTCATAAACCTGGGAGGAAACCAAAGAGTCTACGGTAGCTGTTAGACCTGAATCATAAGTAAAGGTTTGAATAATCACGAACCTGGCAGCTCAAGGAGGTACAATTTCAGAACACTCGCGATGATGGGGATTTCATATTTCTCCAGGATCTCGTTATAATCCGCTTTGCTGTTGTTCAATGCGCTACGGAGGTGGTGTGTGGCTGCCAAAGGCACATCGTACAGCCAGATGGCACGTCGTGCCTCGTCACCCTCAAGGTCAGGGTAGCCTATCCAAGTTAGATTCAAAGCGCTCCAAAGGACCGGGTGAAAGACAACTTACGGTTATCCAGGTAGGTCAG